GAGAAAGACTGAGATTTAGATTGGACAGAGTGGAAGGCTCAAGTAAGAGCTGGTCTCAGTGGGGTTAGCCGTAAAACGGACTAAAACTTTAGTCGTAGGCGTAAATATTGGAAAATTTTAACTGTTAGTCGTCAAAAATATTAACCGTAAAAAAAAAAAAAATAGCTACGAAAGTGAAAGTCTCAAGATCTCTTGTCAAGAATTTTTGTGTCGTGTCTTGCATTTTTGTGGTTTGGCATGGTAGTACAGGGAAAAACTGGGAGACTAATGGTCACTAATGTTCGGCGAACCAGAAGTGTCAGAAGTGTCTTTTAACAGTGTGTCTGTCGAGTGCGTCAAAGACTGATATAAGACACAGTGATTACTGGGCGGATTTAATGATTGGCCAGATTTTTCACTGCTTTCATTGAGGGTTGGTTTTAAATAATTCATACGAAACGTCAAGTTAAAGTAAAATCTTCAAACCAGGCGTAATCCTAGCCTTGGGTCATGTTTGTTACCACTCTTGTTCTTAAGCTCAAAAACTCCAAACGTTAGCTTCTCAAGGTTCGCTTCGGGCGGATAATTTACCTCAATCGAACATCAAGCAGCAAAGCAAAACACCATAGTTTCTTAAGAAGCTCAGCACTTTGACATTTTCTTTTAGCACTTTGACGTTACATGTACTGTATTCTGTTTCTGTCTTTGCATTTACCTTCATCAACCTCAAATTTATACTGTGACTGAGTGTCTCACTTGGCCGTTAACACACTTGCCCTTCGGATCTAGAAATCAACGTACCTATTGACAGTCTAGTTACTTCGTATTTCGGACAGGCATTGCTTTTCGCGCGGAAACTAGTCTCCTTCGCATCGTCGCTTGGCGGTCTCCATACATAAGAAGTAGCGTTTCACGAGAATTTAATACTAAAAAAATGTGCCTTTATTATTATTATTATTATTATTATTATTATTATTATTATTATTATTATTATTATTATTATTATTATTATTATTATTTTTAACTTCGCCTGACAAAAATACTCAACTTATATACAACAAAATTCATTAGGCAGGGAGACCATTATAGGTTGGAAGTTCAGCACTTTGTAGGGCTTGCCACAAGTTGCTAGGCAACTTTTTGGCAACTTTTTTTGTTTTGAGCAACTTTTTGCATTCTGAGCAATTTCTAGTTTTCTAGATATCGGAGGAGCTTTTACGACTTTAATTGGCCATGCTTCCATATTTTATTTCCATGTTTCAGTAGACAATTTGTGAATTTCCTGTTAAAAAGGAGCAGTTCCTCCCCCCTGCGGCAGATCATGGGCGTAAGATGTATGCAGCCGGGCTGCTAGGTCAGCTGTTTTTCAAAGAAAATCCAAAATAGCGGACGAAGATTTACGCTCCACTGATTGGAGTGTTTCAGGTTACGAAGGTTATTCAGATCCTTTGAGGGTAGCCGCAGAAGCAGGGGCAAGACTGAGTACTCCAGCGAAAATGAAAATGGTTAGAAGTCTTGACCGTGAACAGCAACGACAATTTTTTTGGCTCATAATAGAATTTTTACAAGATTAATATTGTTATATTGATATTGATGCGTAGTATTTACTCATAAGCGACGCTGGTTACAACGCAAAATTGCACAAAAATGCTCAGAAATTTTACTTTTGTTGTACCGATGACATATTTTTGCATCAGGCCAAATAAAAGAAGAGAGAAACAAAAAACGTTTTTGCTTTTTGTAGCAACTTCTGAGCAACTTTCGTTACGAAAAGCAACTTTTGACTTTTTTTGGAGCAACTTTTGAACAACTTTTTGAGAAATTTCGGGCAACTTCTTGGGAAATCTCGAGCAACTTGTGGCAAGCCCTAGCACTTTGGCCTATTCTCCCACGTTCCACGTCAATAAATAGATCTCATCGGCGCAATGATGTCATCCCTGTTTTTAGGTTGTCATTTTACAATATTATGGGATATGGTAAACGTCGTTCCGGTTCATTGGTAAGATGGCGTATCAGCAACCACTGCAGCAACAGCCAGGTATTTTAACTCTCAGTTTTTTTACTTTTCCACTAAACCAAGGGTTAGTGACGTAGCTGTTAGGTAACACTTAGCTTCTGACAAATGTCATGGCCGTTTGTTGTGGAAGTAAGCTTATATTTTTGGTACTTCATGTGAAGTTTGATGGCGCAGCATTGGAAGTTCACACCCATTTTGGCCGTTTTATTTTTGTTACAGACCCAGATTTAAGGTATTAACTTTCACCAAATATTTGCTTTCTAAGGTCAATCGATCGATCGACTGAATAGTTATGTTCAGTGGTGCATTCAATCCAGTTCATAAGTAAAATTATTCTTTGTTTGTACTAGTGAACGCTGAGTCCTTGTTAACGAGTCCTTAGCTAGCCTTAAAAAGACAGCTACATGTAAGCTAATACGTTATGGTTCCACAACACAAGCAGGTAGCAATAGCTTCAAACTCTCTGCAAGAATCTCAAGCAAAGAGTGAAATATGCATGCACAGTGCTGTAAAAGTTTGATCAAAATCGTGTTTATACTCGCTTTCAGCCGTCTGGCAAGTAAACCAGTCTAAAGTTCGACAACAGGCTTTTTCAAGTACTTAAACCTAATATTACACGCTAATTATCAGTAAAATACTCAGCGGCCGATACTTAAAGTATATTTCTGATACTTTAAGATCCTTGAAATTAAAAGATTGTCGTGATATTTCACAAAGGTGTACGCAACCTTAGGTTTTAGTTTATAAGTGTTATCTATATGCAAGAATCACTAATTTTATAATTTTACCTCCTGATTAAGTCTGATTTTTCTCTTCTTCACTCTTTTCTGAATATTACTTGGATATGATATTATTTATTTTTTGGCTGGCCAATATTTAGCATACTTGGTTGCTATAGTAGAGATCAATGTATGCATACATGTATGTAAAAACCACTTAAAAGCAAGACCCCTGGAAGGTTTCATAAATGACTTCTCACTGTGCTTGTGTTAGCCTGACTTGTAGGAACAACACAAGAGTAAGTACAAGCACAAGAAAAAAGTCTTCCTTTTCTTGTGGCTACACTTGTTTTTGTGTACTTCACTCCAGTTGATGCATACCTTTTGTGTCCAATGTTCTCTTGTACACGTGCTCATGCCAAGTGGGGTGCCGGATTGAAGAATGATAATTCAGTGCTTTTAGTAACAAGGTGTGAGACATAATGAGCTCTGTTCTTATTTGTGAGAACAAAATTATAAGTATGGCAAGTGGTCATCTCATGCAGGTAAAACTATTTGAACTGAACTTCTTTATAAGAACTGTTTCTGCTTAATACACTTCTCCTCATCCTTGGCTTCTGTACGATTGTACATATTTTTAGCTAGTGTCAGTAGAATTCTACTAGTACACTAATGTAAATGCTGTAATCTGATTGGTTGAGCTATTGCACACTACCAGCCATGAGTGTTCAATTTTTAGAGCTTGTCATGTCTTTTTTTCAAATAAGTAGCATAGCTCATTTATGTTTCTTGGTGTATTTTATTGCTAATCTTTATAGGAGTTCCTGGACAAGTACAGTGGATGGCAGCACCTCAGGCTCCGATGGGCTGCCCTCCAGGTCTAGAGTACCTTACTGCAATTGATCAGTTGCTCGTGCAACAACAGGTTGAGTTACTGGAAGGTAATTAAAGATAAATAAGTTAAAATATATTGTCTAATAATATAGACTGACAGGTAAACAAATAATCTAGTGAGACAGTCAGTCCATCAGTCAGTCAGTTAGACAGACAGACAGACAGTCAGTGACTATCGATCAGTCAGTGTAAAATGGGATTGACACGCCTACGTGACTCCTATGGTTCTTGACATTTACCGTTCTCTTTTTGGTCTCTTGACCTTTCTTTGCTTCTCACGTGTTTATCAAGGGCACTTAATGTTGTGTTAAATTAGGAGGAATTTTAAGTAGAGGAGCCATTAGACTGTTCTTTAGCAAATATCTAGGGATCATAAGTTTCTGCATGGTTTCTGCCGTTATCTGCATGTCGCTTTGCAGAGTTTGACACTGTCTAATTTGCCTTGTGTTTGTATGTTTAAGCTCATTTTAGTTGGACAGTCATTTAGCTGTTAGTCAGTCAATCAGTCATCCCCATTGTAATCTGTTGGTCATCCCTTGGTGAGTTTCTAATAAACAATTAGATGATGAGCTCAAGATTTCTACCGCGTGATAGTTGAGGAGGGCGCACCCTGAGACAACTATCACGCATGGAAATTGAGAGCAAATAATCTAATTGTTTTAGAATAAATCTACTAGTCATTCAAAACTTTATCTAAAGCCTCTCCACAGACACTTCGAAAACGCCGAGAAGGGGACGTCATTTTGGTAACAAGGGTATACTGCTATGCTACTTGCTATCTACCACGGAATAGATAGTGAGTAGCATAACCAATCAGAGAACTGCATTTGTGATAGAACGCTAGTAGATTTATACTAATGATCAATATAATATTGTAAACCCCCTCTGCATAAATGGCTAATACCAAATAGGCAGGTATTGTATGACACATCTGATCCAATTTATTGCATGTAGGTCTTGTTCTTTGGCATGATGCATTTCTGACTTGATCCAACTTTTTTTGTTCTGATCAGCTTTTACTGGATTTGAAACAAACAACAAGTACAAGATATGTAATGCCATGGGTCAACAAGTCTACTTTGCCGCTGAAGGTAATGCTGCCAGTAACAGATATCAACAACAGAGGAACTTATTCAAGTATCTCTGGATTCATACAATGTAGTTTACCTTAAAGTACCTTTTGTTAATCTCCCCAAAAATGACAACCCCATCAGTATTTGTGATCAGTCAATGCATAGTTTGTCAATGACGTGGCTAAGAACTGTCTGTGGGCTAATTTCACTGACTGATTGAGACCGGGGGCAGGGCATTCTTGGGTTTCACACGACATCACAAGCTTTGCTCAAATCAGTGTCCGCCATGTTGGTGTCCCTCAGGTGTCAAATTTATGCTAATAATAGTCCATTTCTACAGTGAATCACTCTATTATTTCGGCGACTACATGAATATCCAGGAAGACAAAATCGATAAAAGTACCACGCATTCATCTAAAGGTATCCCAGTGTTCTCTGAGTATGCTAAAAGCTTAGAGAGTCGAGTAAAGGAAAGATATTCGCAAAAGATCTCGGTCATTGGTGTTGACCCGGCAAGCATACCAACCAAGCAGTTCAGTCCAGAATGCTTGCCTCCCGTGGAAGTCTTGGACTTGCTGAGTTACCGCGTTCTTGAGACCAGCTTCTACACCAACAAGCAGTTCAAGGCGTTCAAGAGTCTGGAGGCATTTAACCAAATGGTGTCAGGATTTGTAACCTCAGTTGTAGGCAAAGTAATTACCGGCAAGTATGTTGTGAGAGCACATGTTCAGCATTCACAGGGTATGAATGATCCTTTAGTGAACATTTGGGTCATTTCCGAAAGCGATGGGACTATTTTGTCAGCCCATTGCTTGGGATGCAAAGTTGGACTGGCTGAGTCATGCTCACATATCACAAGTGTTTTATTTCATTTATTTAGAGGCAACTACACGAATTCATGGTAAGCTCGCTTGCATGCAGGTAAAATGATCATGGATTTTGCCGACATATGTCAATGAAGTGCCGTATGCGAGGGCTAAGGACATCGATTTTTCATCGGCTAAGAAGCTCAAAGAAAAGCTCAACCAGAAAATTGAGGATCTACAACAGCTGCACGCCTCGAACCATACAGCAGTTTCTAGTTCTGGGACTGCATTGGCCGGCACATCAGCGCCTCAGCGCATGCAGCGCACATCGCTTCCTTCAAAAGAGGAAATGGATCAACTTTATGCCAAACTCAATCAGTGCAAAATTAAAGCAGTAACTTTAAATTTAATCAATCCTTTTGCTAAACAATTTATCAACCAAAGCCGCTCTGTTCCAGTAGTTTCAGAGCTGTTTCATGCGGATAATTTGAGCCTTGGCTATTTGGAACTGTTGGCGTAATGCATTCAAGTACAGTTAAACATTTCAGCAGAGCAAATCAAGCTGGTAGAGGAAACCACCAGGGCTCCGTCAAAAGGTACAGGCTTTTTTAAGCATTGTGCTGGAAGAATTGGCACTTCCATTAGCACTTCCTTCGCAGCGCCTTACTAAAACGATTTGCTATCCTAGTCTGTACAAACTGAACACCACTGTAGTCAAACATGGCTGCAAACATGAGGATGCCACTATTCAGGCCTATGAAACAGTCATGAAAAAGAGTCATACCAACTTTCAGGTGAAGAAATGTGGGTTGTTTATCAATCAGGAATACCCATTTCTACATGCCACTCCAGATTTCCTCACTTCTTGTGATTGCTGTGGACTGGGGTGTGGGGAGGTGAAATGCCCTCTCTGTATCCAAGATGCCAATTTTGAGGATTATGCTGCTCTATGGAACTCCTGTCTAGTTACTATGGATGGTGGAGTTTTCAAACTTAAGAGGTCACATAATTATTATTTTCAAGTTCAACAGCAGTTATTCACTCTGAAAGAGAGGAGGTATAATGACTTTATTGTTTATGCTATTGACAAAAAGGGCAATGTCCACTTTGTAATGGAAAGAATTTTACCTGATGTCCGCCATTGGGATACAGAACTTCCAAAACTCGAAGCCTTCTGGAGAATTTGTGTACCTGAAGTTTAAGGTCACTGGTACACAAGAAGGTGCATAGTAGAAGTGAAGGGGCCTGATGCTGGTAGCATATGGTTTTGTAGAACTGTGCCTGATGGGGAAACAATTTCATGCAGTAATGAGAATTGCCCATATGGCAAGTTTCACCCATCATGCCTGTCTCTTACTAATGTGACAATCCCTTAAAAGTGGTACTGTCCTCACCGCTCAAGATTACAGCAATTCAAGAGACATCCAAGGAAGCAAACTACAGGCAAGGCGAAAGGCAAAGCATCAGTCTCAGCTGTGTCTACTCAAGCTTCTTTGTGTGATACTATTTGTATCTGCAAAGTGAAAGCCACTACTGCAGACAGACTTGTAGAATGTCATGGCTCAAACTGTACTAATGGCAAGTTCTTTCACTTGCAATGCCTAGGGCTAAAGAGGATGCCAACCAATCACAAGACAACCTGGAGGTGCTATATATACCGCACAACAATAAAGACCAATGTAGCCCCTCCTACTACTTCAACACCTATCACTTGTTCTTCTTTTGAAGATGGTGATGATGCTGTTACTGTTGTTACAACTGGTCAGGGAAATCAGAACAAGACAGGAGCTCTTGCAACTCTAACACAAGATCATTTTGATCTGATATGCAACCCACGTGGATGGCTAGATTGTGACATCATACAACAAGCTCACATTCTGTTGCATAATGAAAACCTGAACATTGAAGGGTTCCAGCGYCCAACTCTTGGACCRGTCCGTAACTTMGACATTGTGTCTGGGGAATTGTGTCTGGGGAATTTGRAAATTCTTCACARTYGCAATAGCCYTTGMMTATGTGTGAGCTCTATCGGGTGCCCTCCGGGACATGTGAAACTTTATGACAGCCTTTACAATGATGCTATCAGTCAGGAAATTGAGCAACAAACTAATGATTTACTGGGAGGTAGATTATTGTCCCTAGTCCCTGCTTCAGTTTAGCAGCAAGGTAATGGTAGTGATCGCAGTATTTTTGTTATTGCATTTGCTGCTTGTCTAGTCTTTGGAATTGACCCATGTCATGTAAATTTTGATGTTCCAACCATGAGACCTCACCCGGCAGCTTGTCTCAGGAATAAAAAATCAGTTTGTTTCCTTCAACTTAGAGCAATTTTACATGACTGCCTTTTGGTATAATTTGCAATTCATAAAAATGGCAGTATTCAGACACATTTTTTGAGCATGTGCTTTGATGACATTTTTATTATCCTAGATGTAATGGTTGACAAATATTATTGAAAGTAAAAACTGCTAAAAGGTTTCTTGCAATGAAAGGCTAAACACTTTGCCTGTGTTTTCTCAATGGTGTCATAATGTACACATTCAAGCCACAAATTATAGAGAAAATTATAGAGATACGAGCCTCTATATCTGCATACAGTATGTTCCTATTATAATAAAAAAATATAAGGTATTTTATATTGTTCTTAAGATAGAAAGCAAAAATTGTGACTCCTAACATTTAACAGGTTTCTTGCAATGAAAGGCTAAACACTTTACCTGTGTTTTATGGGCGTCTAAATCGAGATTCTGATTGTCAAGGGAATAATAGATAGATTTTTATTTTTTAATAGATAGATTTTCTGGAATAACCCAGAATGGGATATCACTGCATTTTTTTATTCCAAACAAATCTATATCACCAGAAATAGATAATGGGTTGAAGCATACATTTTTCTTTTGTTTTGATTGTGCTCATGCAAATGAATATTTTGCAACAGGTCACTAAAGAAATGTCTTAAATGTTTCTAACCAACTATGTTTCTCATATAGCCAAATCAAAATAGGGGAATGTTTTATTTAACATTGTACATTACATGTATTTTGCAAGAAACAAAACATTTGAAGTAAAATAAACCAATGTAATAACCTTGTATCACTATAACAAGAAAATTTGGCAAATTTTAACTGTGTATACCCCCTTCATAATCAGACTCATGGTGATGTTCTATTGTTCAGTTCCAGAAAATATCCATACTCCCCCCACATAAGGGATTGGAATTTCCTGGGGGGTGGGGGTTCTATAAGACCAAAAAATTTAAGGAAATGTATGAAGCTCAATCAGAATTTCCAGAGGGGTCGGAGGGACTTCCGTGGGGGAGGTATGGATATTTTCTGGAACTACACATTTTATTTCTAAATATTTCTTTGGGTTTAGGGGGAGCAATTTCAAAATGGACACCAACCCAAAAATATTACACTGCCCAAATCCAAGAACTTGTGCAGGGACTTCATGCAGCCTGCATGGTTCCTTAGGTCAAAATTTGTTAGCTCAGGCCTATCAAAAACCAACCAGTAGGGACTGGTCATTATTTACAGGAACAACTGTGCTGGAGAAAAACCTCACGAGGTTTAAATTTTTTTTCTAAAAAATCTTCCGGACTATAGGATTTTTGAAAGCTCAACTGTGCAGGGGTACAAGAATGCGAGTGCATTTTCTAAAATGTTGATTTGCACATGCTGTTTTACGCCTCAAACCTCTCAAACATATTACAAAGAATAATATATGAGGTACAAAAAACTTGAGCCAAAATTTATAGAAAAATCAGCGAATGGGGCATGGAAAAAGATCTGAAAAGGGAGAGTACTTCTCCTGCCCAGCACTCCCTGTATATAATGGCCCATCCCTTATATCTACTGAGCTTCAAATGCAATGATAACTTAATGGTCTCCTTAATCAAAGGGTACAATAGGTGGACAGAAATTAACTAGTGCTGCGCAGATTCTCACAGTACAGTCAGTAAGTGGGATCTGTGCTCAACTGGCTCATTTGGGTTACAAGCTAAATATTCAGTTGGCAATGTACCTTCTAAGATTGTATATTTCCTTCTAAGAAGTCCAATTACCCTTTCCACATGGATTCATACACTAGCTATACCCCTTATATTTTCCACATCTACTGGGTCCAGCTGACTCTTCTACTTTGTAAATGCTGGTATCTCCAATTTTGCTTGTTTCAATCCCACACTTTCAGAAATCGTAAATCTGCGGTCAGCCATAACCATATCACCTGGAAGCAACTTCTTGAGAAAGTCACAGTTCTCTGTCAGGAACTTATCAGAAGTTCTGCCNCCCCCTTAGGCTTCTGATACATAGGACACAGTCCCCTGAGGTGTTATACCAATAAGTAGCTTGATGGTGTTGTGATGTTTATAACTGGAAAATGTTTGTGCCGTGGCTAAAAGGTTAGTTGGCTTCTCAATAAACACCTTGAAGCAATCAATTACCACAGTGACTTTTTTCCAAAGGAATACATAAAACATTGTGGCATGGTCCTCCTCAATTGCTCCCTCTCAGGCCATGAAATTAAGGGAAATAGCCTTGTGTCCATAACCACTGGACAGGAAGAAAAAATCTGTGATGCAGTAGAATGAGAAACTTTGAAGTGGTAAGCAAGGTCCTGAAGTGGCAGGTTCAATCGAAGTTTCATCAACACAATCACAAATTCTTGGAGCCTATCTAACGATAGTGTCTTGCGAGTGACGTATGATGAAACATGCTCAAAGACAACCATCAGAATTTCGAGGGATGGTAGTCCCGTATAAAACAGCACTTTACTGTCAGAGTCAAAGAAATCTCTCATTGGTGCTTGATATCCTTTTCTGAAGAACATATATTCAAACTCATTGGTCTGACAGCTAGAATTGCTGGTTGTAGCTTCTTTCCAAACTGGACTAGCTGTGTGTTGTCTTGCTTCTACAGAATCAGTGTTCAAATCAGGTAGTAGTGGGTTTTCTGGTGTTGTGTTTTCGTCCAATTCGTAAACATCATTCAATTCGAGAGCTACACTTGCAGTTTCTAATCCCTCTGAACGCTGTTCAACTTCACAAGCTGAAGAAGTTGGCTCGCTGAAATCTATTTTTGCGACTGGAACACCGCTTTGTACACACGTTTCTTCTTGGCAGCTTCGAGCTTGGCTCGCTCGATCGCTTGTTGTCTTCTTTTCTTGGCTCTCAAAGCCCTTTCGGCTGCATTTTCGTGGTCTTTTTCTACATATTTCTTCTTTCCAAGGGCAACATATGGAACCCAATCGACATGAAATTGATCCCAATCTGGTGCTGGCTCTCCGAAGACGAAGTGTTTGCTACAAACTTGTTCACTCTCTGGCACTCTCTTGTTTGTAGCATTGCAGCGACTCACCGCAGAAATCCACTTGTTTCTCCTCCTAGCGGTGAGTTCCTCCTGTTCTTCCACTTGATTTGTAATAATCTTAGGTATACGAAAAAAGCCTAAGCCTTTATGCTTTCTACTTTTGCTCGAACAGCCGACAACAACGCATAAAACCATCCCTGCTTTCCCACATGAACTCTTCTTTGGATACGGTTTGTTTACACTTGAGGGACACCAAGATGGCAGATAGTAACTGTTGCTAAGCTATTGGTCACATGGGTGAAATCCAAAAATGCTTCATACTTTCATGCAGGGAGGCTCTGCCCTGAGATTCAACACCTCACACTTGTATATCTACCATTTTTAAGGAAAAGGTGCCCCTTTCATATACATTTAATTTTAAAAAAATGTACCCCTTTCACATCTGGCTAAGGAAACAAAGACTTTGAAAGTGCCACTGAAACGAAATTTTTGTATGTGAGATTTTTGCTCAGTAATAAAGTTTCAACCTTACTTGG